AGGAAACTCCCGCCTGCTCCCAGGCCTCATCTCCCGCCTTCAAAGCACCCTCCACTCTGCTCGGGAGGTGAGCCTTCTTTTTTTTTTTTTTTGAGAAGAGCTCACTTTGTTGCCATGCTAGAGTGAATGCCATGGGGCATCACGCTAGCTCACAGCAACCTCAGACTCTGGGCTCAAGCAATCCTGCTGCCTCAGCCTCCCGAGGTAGCTGGGAGCTACAGGCATGTGCCACCATGCCCGGTTAATTTTTTCTTAATATATTAGTTGGCAATTAATTCTTTCTATTTATAGTAGAGAAGGTCTCACTCTTGCTCAGGTGTTTGAACTCCTGGACCTCGAGCAATCGCCCCGCTCGGCCTCCAGAGTGCTAGGATTTACAGGCGTGAGCCACCCGGCCGCCCGGGAGTGACCCTTCTAATAAATGAATCTGCCCCTGTCCCATCCTGGACACAATCGCGGTCCCAGGCCCGTAAGAGCAGTGTGCTCTGGCCTGGCACTGAAACCTGCTATGCAGCCTGCTCACGCTGTCCAGCACGAAACCCCTCACTGCTCTCTACCTGTTCCCTTGCCCTCTCCCACCGTCCCTCAACTGTTCTGGATACTCCTATCCGTACAGCAAGACCAGGCTGAATGTCCCCAGGCGGTCAGGGGCAGCACCTACACCTGCTTCTCTTCAGGCACAAATCTCCTTGCCAGGTCCCTGAGGGTGCCCGGGTCCAGCTCTCCCCAGCCCACCCTGCTGCCATGAGAGCACAGCGTTCCTCTCCGGCACCAGGAGCACCCTTGGAACAGTGCTCCATGCTGGCTTTTATTTCTGAGAAAAACAACTTCCCCAACACCAGATGGAGAACACAATTTCCCAGACATGTGTTGCTTCTTCAGCAATGCCCGTGCCACGCGAATGTCCGTTGCAGCCGGAGGAAGGCAGCGGGGACGCCTCCCCGCTAACGAGTCCTGCCCAGCCACAAGCAGGCTGGCGGGGGCACCTGGCCCCGGAGTCTGGGGTTCTGGGATCCGGCCTGCCCCGGCTTTGCCAGTTACTCAACGTGTGTACCTTGGACAAGTCACATCCCTTCCCCGACTCGGTCTCCCCGGCGCAGCATGGAGGTCGGCATGCTCCTGCCCAGCCACCTGGAGGACCCTGGGAACTTGGCAGTGCGAACGACCCATGCGCCGCCTGTGCCGGACGTGGACACGCAGCCAATAAAGTCGGAGCCTCAGGCCCGCCCTCTGGGTGTCACAGCCGGGAGAGAAAAGGAGCAGCAGACAGCCGCCGTATGCAGGGGAGAGAAGGGCTGACAGGGCTGAGGGTCAGGAGAGGAAAACGCTGGCATCCAGGAGCTTCCTGCGGTGTCTGGGCAACTGGCCTCGTGGCGCTGGGAGGACGTCGCAGGTGGCAGGTCTGGCAGGGAGCAGGGAAGTGCCGGAGCCTCCACAGCTGGCCTGGGCTTCAGACCAGAGGGCTGCCAGCAGGGAAGGCGAGAGAGAGCAGGGGTGGGCTGGATGGGCTGAGGAGAGGGAGGGTGGCGTGGAGAGCCCGAAGTCCAGGCCTAGTTAGACTATTCAGGTGCAATGGGAGCACCGAGGGGCCCAGAGTGGGGCACACTAATAAGCAAACGAGCGAAGGAGGGCAGGCAGGCGAGGGAACACAGCCCTCCTGGCACACGCACACTTGTGACAGGCTAACAAACTGCCTTCCACTCACACACGGAGCCCGGGACCCCTGGGGAGGCAGGTGAGTGGGGAGGAGACCAGTGGGAGCCAGGCTGCAGAGATTGCAGAGGTCACAGCTTTGGGCTCGCTGGTCCAGTTCGCTCTCACTGATGTGCAAGAGGTGAATTGGGCACAAGCTGGGAAGGCCCAGAGCAAGCAAGGTTACCGCACAAGGGGGGCAGGCAGGGAACAGCCCTGGCAGCCCCATCTGTCACGCAGTTCAGCAGGATCACCAGCATGCTGACACACTCGAACCACGTGCGCGCCAAGTTAAGGACAAAACTGCGTGGGGACCATGGCCACGGGGGTGGCCCAGCACACACAGGCACACACCCCATTCCTGAGTCTTCCCCCGCTGCGTTCCACCCCTGAACAAGCCAGTGCCCAAGTTCTCAAAGTCCCTGGAGCCAGCCTGTCCCCAGCACAACAGATAGGGCCACACATGCCAAACCCACCAAGGGACCCAACCCCCACCAAGCTGTCCCCTGCAGGACCCTCCCTCCCCTTGCCCCAGCCTGAGACTCCCCGTCGGGCCCAGGCAGGGAAGGCCCCAGAAGCCTGGCTGAGCCGCCAGGTCTGGGCCAACCCAGCCTCCCCACCCCGACCACTTCCCTGTCTGTGACTGTCACTGCCTGCCTTCCCTGGCCACCCTTCCCCTCCCCAACCCAGCCCCTCCCCATCTGCCAGGGCCCGGGTCTGGAGCCCGCATGAGGCCCTCCATGGTGGCTGAGACTAGCTGGATGCCCGTCCTCTCCTCGCCCACTGCTGGGTGGACTCCGAGTGCCTGCGCCCAGGCCAGCCCACGTGCCAAGCCGGCCTGCCCAGGCGAGTCCTCTGCAGCCAAGGACCCAGGGACTGGCTATTAACCAGCCTTGGGCAGAGCCTCCAGGGCACTAGATGGGTGCTGGATGGGGGGCTCCCCTCCTGTGCCCCGTGCCAGGCTGCCCTCCTCACCCCGACTAGGAGCGCCCCACAAACACCCTCCTCCCTCCCTCCCTGGCCGACTCCTGCCCAGACTTGGAACACAGCGGACCGCGTCCGGTCTCACCACTCCCGGTCCACCTCATCACAGAGCCAGGGAGCTCAGAGCCCGACAGGACCGAGTTTGTGTCACTCCCGGCCCTCACCTGTCATCATGCAGGTGAGAAACCAGAAGCCCGCTCACATGCCCCAAACTGGGATCTGCCACCCTGAGTCCCGGTGACAGCAGAGCCGGGAGTAGGTTCTGCTTCTCTAAAGGGAGAAACGCTGACAGAACTCGCCACACCCTGCCTGCACAGCCCCCACTCCTGCCCCCGGAAACTGGGCGTCAGGAAACAGACAGGCAGCTCTCGTGCTGTAAAGGCAGCAAACGGGACGACGGGACCTGCACATGAACTCCAGTCCCAGCAGTGACCGGCTCTGAACCTGGAAGTTCCCCACTGGCCCCGGGTCTGCTCTGGCCCCACTGGTTAAAAACATCAGTAGGAGCTACGCGTGGGGCCTCACGCCTGTAATCCCAGCACTTTGGGAGGCCGAGGCAGGAGGACCACTTGAGAACAGGAGTTTAAGACCAGCCTGAGCAACACAGCAAGACTCCATGGCTACAAAAAATAAAGATAAATTAGCCAGGTGTGGTGGTGCACACCTGTCATCCCAGCTACTTAGGAGGCCAAGGTGGGAGGATTGTGTAAGAATAGGAATTCAAGGTTACAATGAGCTATGATCTCACCACTGCAGTCCAACCTGGGCGACAGAGCAAGACCCTGTTTCTAAAAAAAAAAAAAATGTTTAAACCACACAGCAGTGACATCACCTCCCTCCCCTGCTCAAAACCCTGACAGAAAGACATGGCTCCCTGCAGGTGAGGGCTTTGCAGGCGTGGGGTGAGGGCTGCTTCACAGTTTATG